AGAAAATAGTGGCTGCAGATGCTGTGAAATCAATTGATATACTAACAACTTTTCTCAAACAAAGAGAAATGGACATCGGTCTTAGCGAGAATTTTATATACAAGTTAAATCAATGTAAAAAAAATATACATAAATCAATCTTCAAATCCAAGGTTTAATCTAAAATTAGCAGTTATTTCACAAGCGAATAAAGAGTACAAGTAGTGTTTACGACATTATTATCTAGCAGCTTGAGCACTTGCCCCGTTTATCTGCACATCAAATATAACCTTCAGTTTATAGAGTAACCCTGCCAATTCGAAAACCCTGATAATACGAAGAATAACTGCTGCACTGACGTCTTCGGATTATCGGGGTTGACCTTGTATAGATTTTTGACACTGTGCACAAGTACTTCTTAACTTTCCATCAGCTGTTTGAAAATGGCTGATACTTTTGGTACCATAGCAGTGAGTGCAAGTCTTATTTTGTTGCTCCATTTGAATAAGAGTAAACAGGTTTTATTATCTTTGTAGGAAAAGGTTTTTAAAGAAGAGGGTTGTTATGAGAAAGATTATAATCTTTAAAAGTTGTTTTTCTGAAGATGGATCCAAGGCTGAAATGAATGTAGCTCTTTTATATCTTAATCAACATATAGAAAGTAACTATAGTTATAGAAAGTGGCATTACAAAGACAGCATAGCAATTTTACCAATCTTTGTTATGTGCTAAATTGTAACAGGAAATGTTTACTGTCAATTACAAAGATAATTATGACAACTAGCATTGCATTTCTTTATACTGAATCACTTAAACACTTTGTTAATAAGAGATTTGACACTATCAAATCCTTCACATAAAGCATTCATTTGTGTAATGATATGCTCAATGATTTTTGTTACATCAAAAACAGACAATGAATAGTGCATCTTCATTGTACTAAATTTTTAATTGTATTGATAATTTTGTTACTTAGATTCTTAATCAGGAAAACATTTAGTGTGCATTACAAATTTGCATAAAGACTTTAATATTTAATGTCTAAGCGTCAACTTTATATTCTCAGCAGGTATTTCACAAACTCTATCTTCCAATCAATTCGCAATACAAGCAGAATATTTGGTTATTTTTAACATGCTTGAAAGAAACGATCAAAAACAAAGAATATAGATTTTGACCAATCAGAGTAGAAAGATTTGATCTCATTGATCTTTATTATACAAAATCAATTAAACAATATATTTTTTATACTTACTCCTTAAGCATTTCTCGATTGGGACATGAAGTTTTTATAAAATAAATTTTAATTGCATGGCGGAAGTCTCCGATAGTACATCATGTATGAGAAAGGCTGTCCTAACCCTTATTAGGATAGCTTGGTTCTCAATAAAGAAATCAGTGTACAACACCAAAATCCCACATGTGACACAATATTTCAAAGCTGATGACTGGCTGAAGATGTCATACAGATGGCCACATTACTGTAACCAATTCTGGCTTTCTTGGGGTAGTTATTTTCCTCTTGATTTTCCATAATCTTGCAAGGAAGTAGGGGCCAGTCCACAATATGTCAGTCAATACGTGGAATCGAAAAGACAACTACAGATCCAACTTCAAAGGTTTGATCAATTGATTTACCCTTGAGGAGCTGGTTTTGAATTTCCTTTCATATTTTTTCATGTTTCACTCAGCTATTTGTCTTAACTCCATATGCCAAGTTGGTAATCTTTTAAAATTTGCTTCAACATTGATCACATCTGTTGTTTCATTTCTGAAATTGTCCTCATTTGTAACTACTGGAAGTACAAAATTTAGTGTGAATAAATTGACATATGGTTTATAACCCAGTTACTATGTAACAGCATTAACAAATAAACTTTTTTAAAGCTAACATTTGGTACAATAAAGTTAAGCAATAAAATCACTGTGGGAATAAATTATACCAGATTTATCATTATCAGTATGAGTCAAACTTTCAGCTTGACTAATCCATCATTCAAATCTTGCTCTCCATTCAGTAATTTTGTCGATGTTTACCCCAGCATTGTTTGCATAATGTATACAGTCCCTTAGTGATTTTCTAATTTCTTTAATTATAATATCAACAAGCTCAGGAAATTCCTCCTGTAGCCCAAAATAGGCTATCCACATGCTTCTAAGTTGGTTCCATGGGACTACATACTTGCTGTTCATGAAGAATTCTGTTTCTGAGAGCTTGCATTTATTCTCAGGTAGTCTGGGTCGTGGACGTTGTTTATTGGCTTCTAAATAGTGACAATAATTTAAACGATTACATTCATTTAAATATAATGCAAGTACACAATTGACACATTAACAATATTACCTCTATTTGATTTACGTATAACTCTCAATTCTGTCATTTTGCTTAGCCAATTTTCTAATCTACTCCTCCAGACTTCTGCAGCTTCTGGTGAACAATCATTCTCATTCTCATAAATGCATATTTCGATCAATGCATCACGAATGTACTTTCTTGGTACGTCAGGTGGGTCTAACTGCTCTCCAAAGACATCACACAGAAGATGCTGAAATTTAACCCAAGTGCATCACGGCCCATCGAAAAGAGTTTCTTTATAGTTGAGAATTTATTGAAAGGAATATTAGCAATTAAATTGCAGTTGATTTTGTCATATTAGCAAATACTATAATGTAATACACTTATAATTACCAGCAATATCACTTTCGCTGTCTGAAAAGTCATCAAACTCTGCGTGTGTTTCCCTGACGT